ACTTAAAAAAAAAAAAAAAAAAAAAGGGAAGAGAGGATCTGATGTCACTCCCAATCTCTGAAAATACAGAATTCAAATGAAGTAAAGAGTGTAGAGGTTTCCATATCACATGGTTGGTAGATTTATGTATTTCAAGCAACTTACCACTTGCATGTTTTACTAGGGAATGTACGTCCTCAGCAATGTAGCTTCTGGAAATGAACTCCACAAGGAAGCAGTCATGAACCAACTTTTTCCACCGGCAGGCAGTGATATGCAAACAATTTTGATTAAGTTTCTTCAGAGTACTGACAGCCGATTACGAACAGCTTCTGTGTGGGCTCTTGTAAATCTTACTTTGACTAGCCCAGGTGCAAATATTCGGGTTATGAAACTGCAGAGTGCTGGCATAGTTTGTCAACTAAAGAATATGGTCAACGATCCTTGCCTGGATGTGAAGGTCATTAAATAATATCGTAGTGGGTACTTAAATCCAAAATGCTTATTAGCTAAAATATTTTTCTTCTCTTGCAGCTTCGGGCAAAAACAGCTCTTGGACAATCAATGATGTTTGGTGATAGTTCAATGGGATAATTTGTTTTCACATGTTGATGATTGAGATTCTGATGCAAGATAGTGCTTGCGATTTTCCAGGAGAGCATATCAGTATGGCTCAAGTGTCCAGATAAGAATTTTTTTTGCTTTTACTTGAACGATCCCTTACTCTTAAATTCATAAGCATGCAATTTTCTGTAAATAATTGCATGGTGTATGTTTTACAGTAGTTGAGCCATTTTCAGATTGAAGGTTACTGGAGCAAATTTACCAAATGTCAATACTCCTATTGTTTTAGCAGTTGTGTAATCTATGTTCTTGGAGGCCATTATGCTGAATCATAATCTGGACACTGTATTTTGGTCATTTTCCTTTTCTGTACTTTTAAAGGCAACACAACTATCCTTGAGCTTTTAGCGTCATCAACTTGTTCATTTTCTGGTGTAATTGTGTTGACTTGTGAATTTTGTTAAATTTTGGATCCATATTTCCTCTCTATTAGTGTAGAGTGTGATGTTTGTATTTATTTTCCGTTTTCTCATTGTACCAATTTCCCTTTTTGTTTCTTGTCCTGTCCCCAGGCTGCAGCATCATTCGTCGCATGTTTGATACACTCCGTTACATAATTTCTGTCACGTATGTTTCTTTCTTAGTTTGGTTCCATCACATCCAATTTAACGTCGCGAACATGTCTTCAAATTTCTGGAAAGCTACCTCCCTCTAAATCATGAATAAATTTATACACAGATTCTGAACAATGTATGTGATCTATAGTCTAACGCATCATGTAGTTATAATAATTTTCAACAGTATTTACATTAAAG